TTGCTTCCTATTAACAATCACCAATTCACCATCCCTTTCTGTGATCCCCCTCTTTTTTTTTCTGTTTTTCTCCCTTTTCCATCAAACCTCTTAATCTGTAATCAACCCACACCCTCTGCCTCCGCCTCCTCATCTTGTACCTTTGTTAACCCCTTGCCATCTGATTTCTTTTGCCACTTCTCTCCTGAAATGGTGCTGCTTAATTATTAGCACAGCTGACTTCCTACTGGGCACATACTGCTGGGCACTGAGGTTTAATAGTGAAAAGACTGATTCTGTTTATGCCCTCTTGGTGCGACGTTTAACAAGGAGTGACATGTGGAATGAAAGGGAAATTCATAGTACTGTGGTAACATATCAAAAAGATCTAATTTAGTCTGAGGACAAAGAAGCTCAGGTAGTGTTTAAGCTGAAGCTTGAGGGTGGTGGTAGGTTGACTGGAGCTAGAGATCAAGAGGAGGAGGAAGAGGAGAATTCCAAGTGAGAATAGCACTTTTGAAGGCCTGAGGCTGAGAGAGCACTGTACTGTGTGGAGCACTGGAATGAGCCATGTTGTTGTTGTTGTATTTTTATCATAAATTTAAATAGTTACAAAAGAAGTAAATTCTGATGAATTTTAAATGACATTTTGGAAAAAAAGAAGTTACAGAAATCCTTTAAAGGAACCCAAAGTGTTATAAATACCATAGTGATTTAATACCCACCATCATCCGTTTTAAAAATACTTAAGCCTTTGACCAGTTGGAAATTTTACATTGGTCATTTTTCTCTTTGAAAATATATTTTTATTCCACATCTATCACAGAATTCTATCTTAATAGAATATGTTTTTATGCTTCAAAGTCTTTTATTGATCATACTATATTATTAGGGTTCTAAGTTAAAATTTCTTCTGGATTGAGCAATTGTTTTCAATACACAATTTAATCAATATATATCACAAAATCTGGTAAGGAATTGTAAACAAAAGAATTTTATTGGAAATCCATCTCTCAGTGGTGCATTAATTAAAAGAAATTGTCAGATTATCCATTGGTGTCCTCAAGATTGTTATACCTTTCTATCTCAGAGCAGTGCGACATAATGTAGTAGGATTTGGGAAGGGCCAGGTGGGAGAGGGGCCGTTATGAAATGCAAGGTGGGTCTGGACTCCAGGAGTCTTCTCAGGCATCAGATTTAGGAAAGTTGAGCCTCTGAAAATTGAATCCCTTAAAACTATTTATGACTACATCTTTACATATTCTTAGGGCTACCTGTGCCCCAGTTTGAAGATTGTTTTTAGAGAAATAATCAGGGAAAGGAAAGGAGACAAGAATGATAGGGACTGAGTCAGGAATGACAGGCAAGAGCCAGATGACAGCAGGTCATAAGAGACAAAGTATTTGGGACTTTATCCCAAAGGAACAAGGAAACTACCAAGGTTTTAAGGAGGGGAGTAACATGATTACATTTGGTTTATTAAAAAGGTTGTTTCAGGTAGCGTGGAGAGTAAATTAGAAACAGTTTGGTGACTACTGTAGACTCCCAGCTAGAGAATAATAGTAGCTTAGACTTTGCTGGTGACTGTGTGTGTGTGTGTGTGTGTGTGTGTGTGTGTGGAGAAAGAAGTGAATCCTTCATGTATAATCTTTTTGGAGGGAAATTCTACAGTATTTACTAAAAATAGAACAGTAAATCTACTTAAAGGGATATTGCAAGATACAAAATCAACACTCAGAAATCAGTAGCATTTTTATACTCCAGTAACGAGCTAGCAGAAAATGAAATCAAGAAAGCAAGCCCA